AAGCACAGAGCCTGCAGATCTTACATTTACTATACATCCAAAACTTTGCTAGGTCAGAGAAGAAGACGAGGCTCTGAAATCAAGCCCAGATTTTTCACTATTACATAAAGCAAACAATTCACAGATGACACATTCTCTCATGCCTCGATGCCTTTCTCTGGATCCAAAAGATTAATTTCCTCAACTGGACTAAGCTTGTATTCCTTCACAGTTGTGCTTTCCCATGCTGCTGGCAACAGCAGATTGACTAGAATGAGGAGTGGCTGCTGCAGGGGAAGCATTACAGATAAAAACAAAAACACAAACGGAATGGGTTTGAAGGATTCTAGAACACTTTGCTGCTAGGAGAAGCTGAAGAGCAGAAAAAAATATAATGAAAGAACAGTAACTCTGAAACTTGGTGACTGCATGCATGAGAAATGGTGGCAATGAGAACACGTGAAAGACCTGGAAACAAAGCAAAGTTTTATGTGAGACTTTCCCTGCTACCTCAAAAGAAACATAAGAAAATTCCTTTTCATATCCCTGCAAAAAAGAAAAAGGCTGAAATTAAAGATCCAAGTATTGCACTTTAAAAAGTACATACACTGCTTAAGATTATGGATTTCCAACGAGACAGTGAGTCATTTACTGCAGCACTTCAGCAGACAGTAGCCACCAGGAAAAGCTTAAGAGAGAGAGAAGGAATCTCATTCACCAACAGAGGTAACTTTGCCATTATGCAAAAGCAGGGACTGTGCTCTGTTAATGAAGGCGATTTGACACCCCCATCAGACTCCTCTGGATGTTGATTCCAGATATGCATTTGTCACTGCTGTCCATTCTGGCAACACACTACTTTGTATGTCAGTGCTTCCTCCACCAAGTCTTCTTCTAGTGAATGCCTTTAATTGGTTTGCTTGTTGCAATGACAATGGTTACAAGAGGGGGCCTGAAGCCCTACTTTCTAGTTCTGTTCCCTAGAGGAAATAAGCAATCTGAGAGAAGGATTAAGATCCACCAAAAAACTAAGACTTCAAATTTTGAACATCCTAACAAACATCATTTTCCAGCATTTGGGCTGTCGTCTCATTCTCTTGAATTCAAGCGAAAAACTGTTGCTACTGTGACTATCTAAAGACTTTTTCCATCTTACATTTTGTTCCTTGCTTTTGCTGTTTTCAATTCCCATGCCAAAGTTTCTCCTGTTTATTCTAATTGTTTTAGTGTGTCTGGCTCTCATTGGTTTATATGTTTAGTCTTGTCCTGATTTAGTATGAATTAAAACACTGCCACGATCAGACTGCAAATATGAGTCAGAACAGAAACTATTTAAATAATACTATGGATGGTACCCATCTGGCTTGATATCTAGATCATATAGAATAATGTTGTTTTTGTTTTCTGCTACTGTTGTCTGGAATTGCCAATGAAGTGTTGATTGTGATTGTGACCACAAGTATGTTTTGTTCCTGGTCCTGTTAAGCCAAAAGAGTGTGGTTTACTGCATGTATGTACGTGAGGTTGTTTTGATTATACTAAATTCACTTTAAAAAACCCACATTTTGCCACTGCAGCGCTACAGGACAATAAGAAAAGAATTTCCAATGAGAACAGTATTTTAAAAGCAAACCACTGGGCTCCTTCTCTTTAAAAGAATCTTAAGGGACGCTACCCTTTCTTCTGAATTTGATTATTTCTCAAAATTACATGTGAATACTGTTTTCAACTGAAGGCCTCCTTTCCTTCTCTCCTCATTCATTATGTAAGACTTAGCAAATCTCAGATTGCATATTTCACACAGAGGTTATGCTTCTTTAAATTACTTGTTCACTGTGTTGAGTAAAAACATTATATGGCAACTTTTTTTATTTGGTGAATCTGGTTACCATATGTTCAATGGTAGCTTCAGGCATATCATTTGGATTTTCAGTACCTTGTCTCTGAAGACCTAGGAATGCTTACCACTAAATACTTGCCACCCTCATTTTCTAGTTTTCCAGAAAGAGGGTGAAGACTGTATTCTGGAGGGCCAATGTTGCACCCTGTCAGTGCCTCTGGCAAAGCCTCAATGAGTACGCCTCTATTCTAGGAAAGACAGGCTTCAGTTCTAAGCAGTGAATAAGACTATCAACCACAATGTGCCCAAAGACGTGCCTGACCTCATAGTGCACGACCCTCATAGTTTATTCAGACTCTTCAAATGGGTGATAGACAGGCATGTAACACGTGAGCACTGCTCTCTGTGTCTTTTCCAAACTAAAACATCAGCATAAATGACAGACAAGTGGATGAAAACCTGACGTTCTTCTGTTCCTGCTGCAATGAACCCATACTATATATGGCTCCCCCTACATTGCAGACATAAAGACAGTTGAGACTCCTAGCATGAATTCCAACCTGGTAGTTTTTTAATAAAGTTTGCTTATCGTTCCCTGTTTCGCAGCTTTGCTCCTCACTTAGAGGCATTCCAGCCCACAGCCCCATGCTTTCAGGTAATCTGACCAGGATTTTTAACGCTGGCTACATCCAGACTCTGTCTACCCAGAGATTTCAGCCTGATTAAACATTTGCCAGCTAAATTTAAACCCATTCTTTTTCCTGGTTTATGAAGTGCCTGAAATCCTATGCTAATAACAAACAATGAAGCTATCCATTCTTTTTCAGTTGAGTCAAATCAGCTTATCGCTAATAAAAAGCCCTTCACTGCTCCTTAAAGCAGAGGCTAATAATGGTGAGTCAGATACATTCTTGTGATAGCAGTTGTTCAGTTAAGAAACCCTCTCAGCTGACTGAAAAGCGAAATAGCTTTTTTACGACGACTTAATCTCACTGTAAGAGCATCTATGGCTGTAACCAATGGTTTAATGGTTCAGTGCCCTGTTAATAAGGTTTCAAACAAGTGACTGTATTTTCATCACACCAAACTTGAAGCCAAAAAGCATGGGAGCTTTCTGGGTGTTGCTTTTTTGTTTGTTTGTTTGTTTTTTTGCTTTGCTTTGTTTTTGTTTAACTGTCAAGAAAGCACCCAAACCCATGGCTGGCAGCAGTGCTTAAGCTGGCAAAGTTTTGATTATTTTTGTTTCCACATTTTAGAGAGACAGAAGAAGAACTTTCTGAGAATAAAGGGCCATATTTTGTGTTTCAATATAATGTCACAAGCTCAGATCCACATAATGTCAAGATCAGTTCTACAATATCTTACTCTGACCTCCAAGATAACTATTCTTCCTGGTAAACTGCAGTGTATTCTGCAAATCACATAAAGCATTAATTTTTTTCTGATACAAGTTCTATGATTATTTAAGAGTTTTTGCAAGGCAGGCCTATGCCTACACTGCACTTCGTCCTCAGCATAATCTTCTAATCATGTATTCTGCTCTTTCTTGCCCCACAGACGTCAATGTAGCTGCCCCTTGATTCAGATTGAGGAACTGTGTTTTTAACTGCAGAATTCCCAGCAGGATGTGTTGATGCAGTCCAGACACACACACTTTCAAATCCTATTTTAACCAACTATGCATACATAGTTTAAAGCCAGATGTGTTTAATATAGTGCAAATAAAGGACTGATTTGCAAGTGTACTGGGGCCAACAAGGTCAGGCAGTTTGAATTAGTATTTTCATCATCATCAACTCCTGCAATTTCATTTGAATTCTCCTGATATTTAGTATTTGTTATAAAGTCGGGCTGTGGGAACCAAGAGCTTTCATGAATCTGTCTGCTTTAACTTTTATTAGAAGCTTGGAAACTTTACCTATGTACAAAAAGAAAGAAGGAAAAACACAATGAAGCCCAAGCACCTAATTCCAAACCCCAAATGCCCAAAGGATGAATCAAAAACAAGGAAGACATTCCTTTAAAAAAGGATTTCATAGTTTGAAAACCCACTCTGTGGTGCAGAGGAGCTAGATTTTGTTAGGGCTCCTTACTTCCACTTCCCGACCTGTATGGATACGCATAGCTCAGGGCTTTCTCTCTCTGTCAGATAACAGTGGGCCGCAGCAGTGGGCTTCGTTCTACTTTTTCACAGGCCTAATTTCAGTTTCTTTACAACATCAAGCTCTCATTCTTGCTTTTCCGGCAGAAATGAGCTGCTTTGAGCTGAGAACGCGTTTCCAGCCGATCGGATTTATTTACCTTTCTCAAATCGTTTCTGTGCTGATAACGAGTATCGGAGCACACGATTTCCCGGGCATATCGCTCCAGCCAGGGCGCCGCCGGGCCCCCAAGCACAGCCGAAACCGCAAACCCACGTCTCCCTTCCCCCTCACGGCGGAGGCGGCTGACCGAGGCCCGTCTCCCCGCTCCTTGAGGCTCCCAGCAAAGGGGCTGACCCTGACGGGCCCGGCAGCTCGGCGCGGTGGCCCGAACTCCCTCTGCGCCACGGGCTCCGTGCCGCCGCGCCAGGTACTAACCTGACCAGGTCGGTCATACACGATCCCACCACCGCCACTTCGGCGGCCATGGCGCTGGGGACGGGGCGGACAAACCGGCTCCGAGGCCCGGACCCTGGACCCTGAACCCAGCCTCCGCACCGGGCCGCGCCGCGGCTTCAACCGTTGCCACGGCGACGGGCGGGTGGGAGGGGGGGCCTCGGCCGGTAGGGCGCCCCTGGCGAACGCCTGTCGGGACGCAGCTCTCTTCGCTCCTGCCCGCCCCCGTCCCGCCAGCTAATTCCGCGCCGCTCCGGCTGCGGCCTCCCCTCGGCCCCTCACCTCCCCGGCTCTACCCCCACGCTGCGCGGAGACAAAATCCGCCCAGGCGCTGCGGCCGCCGCCAGCTCTCAGGCCCGCGAAGCCCCTTGCGGCTCTGGGAGCCGCGGCGGCGGCGGCG